TTTAGGCTGAGTAAGGCATGAGCAAACAAGCGTGCATTAGCCCATGAATAAACGCCTGATCTGCAAATGTTTAGGAACACATGCAACGCCGCACAGGGGAGTACCGAGGGGGTCACTGCTGCACTGGGCCAGCCGGGGTTGGGCTTCGGCTCGGTTACAGCGTCCAACCCAACCGCTGGCAATGCCGGGATGAGCTTGTTCCGGAGCGCGGCGATTCGAGCCCGGCTCGGTGGTTTGTTTCAGTCCTGCCTCTTAATTATTATTTTTTTCCCCCTCCTTCAGAAGTCCATAATCCTCATTTCTGCTATTCTTCGTCCACTGGTGGGAACAGCAACTTCCTTTCCCAAATTATAATATAAAAGAGCTGTAAGCAGTAACGCCATAAATAATATTTTCTTATGGCCAGAACATCCAAGTCTAGGCAAGACACCAAGAACAGCTACAACACTGTAAAACTCCAACACTTCTCCAGAATGGATTCACTAATTAAAAAATGATTCCTTTTTAAAAGCAGTTGAAAAATATTGGCTTTCCCATTACTGCCTGTTGCTCGCTGCGCCGAGAAAGAGCCCGTCCTGCAAACCCGCAGCCCAGATTACCGGCCACGAGTCTGCCTTTCCCCCTAGAAAATGTCACCGAAATAAAAACACGGGGAGGGGAAGGGGAGAGACAAACACTCCGTCAGGATCTCTTTTTTAATTAATTAATGTATCACCACTTCAAAGCACGGAGCGAGAGCCCCCGAGGCTGAGGCGATGCTCTCTGCTGGGCAGGGCGCTCGCTGGGAACCAAACAGCTCCAGCCCTTCCATTGCCGGGCGAGGAGCTTCCCTGCGCTGGCCTCCCCTCCCGTACCTGCCGGGATGCAGCCAGCCCTCTCCTTCCGCAGACTGCCCGGCTGATGGGGCATTTGCCTTTCGGAGCCCCATGGAAATACCCCGCAGCCCCCCCCTAAGAGTGCAGGGGCTGAGCCTGTGCTCAGGGCTGGGTGCATGGAGCCCCCCGCGCCCTGAGGGTCTGGGGCAGAGGGAGAAGCGAGTGGTCAGAGAAGAGCCCCCTGCTTCCATCCTTCTGCTCAGTTCTGGACCGGCGTCTTTCCACTCATCGGCGTGGGATGGGGATGCCGGCAACCACCGCCTGCGAGAGCCGCCAGCACCGCCGTGACATTGGTCCTAGCTAGGATGCGGCGCTCAGTAAGTGGGACCTTACTTTTTTTTCCCTCTCCTTTGCCTTATAACCATCTTTGCAAAAATAAGACACGTTTCCCAGGAGGTTCCCTTGAGGAGCTGCCGGCAGTCGCCTCCACCGCTGGCTGTGCTCGTGCCCCCGTATGAGCGCTTCATGGGGTTAAATCCATCCCTGCACCACCAGCCCCCTAAATCGAAGCTTCAGAAGCCTCAAAGCCTCGTGCTGCAGGGAAAACATCATCCCTGGGGATTGAGAAAACCCTTTCTCCAAGGAAGACACACACTTTGGGCTCAAACGCCGTTGATAAGGCTCCTTCTTTTTTTTTTTTTTTTGATCTTTTCTTGCAGCGAGCATTCCTTTCACACCCACGCACACCCCAGCATCCTCAGCCATTGGCCTGCCGGCGCATCCGTCACACTTTCCGTCGGCCAAAGTAGATACACATTTCAACTGCTTCCATTCCTCATCTCCTCTGGTGTTAACAGCTAGCGCAAACAAAGGGCCCGAATATCCATCGCCCTATTGAATTGTTTTCATTTGTTTCTTGTGCCGCAGTTGGTTTGGGTTAGAGGGTTTGTGTAAGTGGTTTGGGGTGGGTGGCTGATGCGGTAACTGTTCTCTGGGATGGGGTGGCATTGCCTTGGACACCCATGGCAGATTTTTTTGCTCCACTTGGGCTGCAGGCTGGGAATCCTGAGGGGGGGTTGCAAGAAACAATGGGCAACACGGAGATATTTTGGGTGCAGGGAGGGAGAAACTCCCCGGGGAGCAGCTGGGATAACGGTGGCTCATGGTCCAGCAAGACCCCTCTCTCTCTCTCACCTTGCTTCGGCTTTTCTGCTTCCACCGAAGGAAATGGGGACAAGTGTTAGCTCAACCCTTAGCTGAGCTTTTCCCAATTTCAAACAGATGGTGGGTTCATGGCTGGATTTGGGCAGAAAGCTCTTGCTTTCCCCACATTTGCTGGCCATACCTAGCCAGGGGATTCTGGCCCCGAACCACAGCGGCTGCTTCTCCTTTTAGCTCACAAGAAGGTCTCTGATCTCGCCGTGTGGGTAAGGGACGGTGTCCCACGCTGGGCCGTTGTTCCCGAGCTGTCCGTCTCCATCTGCCCCCACCACGAGCATCTGCCGATGAATCACGGAGCCCAGATTCGTGCAGCTGGTGGGAAAAGCTCGTCTCCGTCTGCAAAGCCACTCGGGGCAGATGTTAGCCAGCGGTCCGGCTGCAGCTCGTGGTCCCACTGTCGCTGTCATCTGTCCCCAGCCCAATGCAGGGACGAGTTTGGGCCACGGTAGCATTGCGACACTGCCCAGCAAGGACGAGCATCCCTCTCGCACAGCCACATCTGTCTCATCCATCTCCTGCTCCTCGGCCTTTCCACTACCTCTCGCAGTGTTAACTTGAGGGGCTCAGATCACCCCCAGAATGGGGGAAAGACCTATACGTGTCCCAGGAAGGGGACCCCAAATTGTATCAGCCCACAGTGGGGTCAGTGCGTGAGCTGAGCAGGTGAGAGAAGCATTATTGGGTAGTCGAGGGCGGTGTTTCGGGGCGCCTTGGCATGTCCCGATGTTTCTCACCACTGAATTAATCAGATTTGGGACTGCCCGCGTAGCCAAATCCTCACCCCACAAAGGTAGGCTTGTGCTGGAAATGGGGGCACGGGCTGCCCTGCTCCCCCCGAGCTGCCCCTCTCCAGCATCTCCCCTTCCCAATGACTCCCCGCCGCCCCCCATGACACCCCACAGGACTGTGCCACGGGGTGCCAGCTCCCCTCCGCCACCTCCCCGCGAGCAGGGAGCGCCAGCGGGGCCGGTCCCGGCAGTGGGGACACCCAAGGTGTGCGGGGCTCCATGGGGCCCCCAGCCCGATGGGGGCGGGAGGGAG